CGATACCTAGGTCCCTCCCCCGGGCCTCCGTCATTAAAGGAGATGTTCGTGGTCCTCAAGGCCTCCTTCATGGCCGCTACCTCCGCTTGGCGAGCCAACCGTGTCTGTTCGGGTTTTTCCCGCCGTTTCCCTCCCTCCTCCGCTTCCTCCTCCTGGTACCGAAACATGTCCGTGGCGGAGGAGTGGTAATCGAGCCGGTCCTGTCCGAACACAAGGGGTCTGTGCCGGTGTTTTCCCGCCACCGGGGCCGTCGGCGGGAGGGGGCAGGAGGTGGGGAAGATGGAGCCGGAGCGGGAGGGGGGGAAGGAGGGAGCAAGGGAGGAAGGGGAATCTGACCATTCGGACTCGGGGGCTCGCCGTCCCCTTTCCTCGTTCCCTCCTTCGTCTACGCCCTCTTCCTCCGATCCACTCGTCCACATGCCCTCTTCGTCCTCCTCGTTGCTGTAAAAGCTTGCGGCATACCTCCCACCTCTACGCATTCTTCTCGGCTTTCGATTTGCCGTATCCTCCGCATCAGGCGTATGGTGGTCAGTGAGGGTGAAATGGGTGGCCATGAGCGCTCGCTTCAACGCCTGGTGTTCGGCTTTCCGGCTCGCTAAGGCAGCCATGTACGCATCTTGTCCTTCCCCACCTCCACCCTGCGCTGCCAATGATTGTTGGACGTCCCTTTGACGGGCCATTGCGTCAGTCTCATACAGCACGGTATCGGTGCCAAGAATAAAATTTGTTTTGGTGTGGCTGTTTCGGTTCACTGGCCGTGCAGGAGGGAGTATTGCACCCTGAAGGGATCTTTTAATACAGGATTGGCTTGCTTGAGACGTAGTTATAAAGCGCTTTGTTGTAGGCGACATGACCCTGTTCGGTAACGACAGAGGTGTGAAATGCTACCGCTAAAGAATATCATGCATCGCGACAGGACATTAGAGAACCAGAGCATAGCCAGCCTATATGCTGACATTGAACGAAATGGTAAGCAACACAAAGGAGTCAAGATTCCTAGCTACCGTCTTCCTCAGACGACTTAACATGAAAAGATTTAGGGGAAAAAATATCACCCTTCAACATAACCTGTTCACCTGCCTCAACGTCCGACGTCTTCAATAAATATGCCTCGTCACAATGAATGCACATGCTCTGATTTAACATCATTGCTCCAAATGTGAAGTTCCTCCCGCCGCACCGAAAAAGGAAAAATAATACATAATAAGAAAAGGGGAAAAAAAAAGTAACGGTTTTGGAAAAAGCGAAGCCCAACGAGCCTCTCCCAGCCTCCCTCCCCGGAAGTCAACCTCTCAGGCACGTTCAAGGCGAATGCCAGTCCCACGCGCGCCTTTCATGCGCCCTCTACACGGTGTGGGCTATTCCTTAATAATCCTCCTCTGACTTTCTCTATCAGGATATTGCTGGGACAGGGGTATTAATTCATCAGACGGACGCCCCCCCACCCAAGCCGTCATATCCTCCTCGAGGCGCCTCTCTGAGCTCGCTTCTTCTTTCTCCTTCGCTTGCTTCCTAGAGGAGCCCATTGTGACCATTGGGAGTCATGTCAACCATGAATGCTGCCATGAAAGGGATGAAGATGCTGGAAAAACGTCTCCCGCATAAAAAGAAGATGTTGGAGCCGATCAAGCCGTCAAGGTAAGCCCGGGAGAAAGAGAGCCAATGGATGACAGCAAACAAAAGACAGAAAGATAGACCCAAGGTGAAAACAGCGCATCGAAATGGGGCGAGGGTGCGGTCGTGGGCTAAAAAATTCGAGCTTTTGCACCGAGAGGGGTGATGAGAAATGGTTATTTGAAAGGGAGGCACGCCGCCGCGTTAGATGATACCCAGCAGGACAGTATTTGAGGTTGAAAACTCAAAGGACGACTGAGCATTTGTATTTCTTTGTTTAGTGTTTGTGTTACAAATGCCTGGAAGACATGAACATTCGCATTTCCACCCCCCGGGGAACCGGTGGTGCGAACGAACGTCCCTCTTGGGAAAGGTTTTCGGGGTGTTGGAAAGCTCGCAGGGTACCCTCATGTACAAGGACGGAAACTTCCTCGGACACATTCCTGACATTGATACAGGCACAAGGACTGATCAATC